AACTTCCTTCTTCCATCCATCTTCAAATCATGCAGTACGTTCGAACAATGGTTCAATGCTCCGTTCGCTACAACCGGAGAGAAGGTAGAGCTGAACGAAGAAGAAACGATTCTTATCATTCGTCGTCTGCACAAGGTCTTGCGTCCTTTCCTGTTAAGGCGTCTCAAGAAGGAAGTGGAGTCTCAGCTGCCCGACAAAGTGGAATATATTATCAAGTGCGATATGTCTGGACTACAAAAAGTTTTATACAAACACATGCAGAGTAAGGGTGTATTGTTGACTGATGGATCAGAGAAAGGAAAACGCGGCAAGGGAGGCGCTAAAGCATTAATGAATACAATTGTACAACTGCGAAAACTTTGTAATCATCCGTTTATGTTCCAACATATTGAAGAGAAATATTGTGAGTATTTAGGCATACAAGGATCCGGTATTATTACTGGCCCTTTATTATATCGAGCATCTGGAAAGTTTGAATTGCTAGATCGCATTCTACCCAAATTAAAAGCTACAAATCATAGGGTTTTACTGTTTTGTCAAATGACGCAACTCATGACTATAATGGAAGATTATCTGAATTGGCGAGGTTTTATGTATTTAAGATTAGATGGAACAACAAAGGCCGAAGACAGAGGTGATCTGCTAAAGAAATTTAATGATCCAGGTTCAGAATTCTTTTTATTTATTTTATCAACTCGTGCTGGTGGTCTTGGCTTGAATTTACAGGCTGCAGATACGGTCATTATATTTGATTCCGACTGGAATCCGCATCAAGATTTACAAGCTCAGGACAGAGCCCATCGTATTGGTCAGAAGAACGAAGTGAGGGTTTTACGATTGATGACCGTGAACTCTGTGGAGGAGAGGATTTTGGCTGCTGCGAGGTATAAACTTAACATGGATGAGAAAGTCATTCAAGCTGGTATGTTTGATCAGAAATCCACAGGATCTGAACGACAGCAGTTTCTCCAAAGTATTTTGCATCAAGATGATGCTGATGACGAGGAAGAAAATGAAGTTCCAGACGATGAGACTGTTAATCAAATGATTGCCAGGTCAGAAGGTGAATTTGAATCATTTCAAAAATTAGACTTGGAAAGAAGAAGAGAGGAGGCAAAAATGGGTCCGGCTAGGAAAGGTCGTTTATTAGAAGAATCAGAACTTCCCGAATGGCTGGTGAAAAATGACGATGAAGTTGAAAAATGTTGCTACGATGAAGAAGAGGATAAATTTTTAGGACGAGGTTCAAGACAACGTAAGGAAGTTGATTATACCAATAGTCTTACGGAGAAAGAATTATTAAGAGCTATTGGGGATGATGGAGTTGAATTTGAAGAAGAGGAAGAAGATGATAAGAAAAAAAAACAAACAAGAAAGAGGAGAAAGAAGGGAGACGAAGACGAGGAGCCAGTTGTAAAGAAAAGGAGAGGGGGCTCGGGAATAAATCCTAAATTAAAAAGAAGTATGAAAAAAATTATTTCTGTAGTTGTTAACTACACGGATAATACCGACAGTAGAGCATTAAGTGAACCATTTATGGAATTGCCATCGCGTCGTGAGTTTCCAGATTATTATGAAATCATTAAAAAGCCTCTTGCTATCAATAAACTTATACAAAAGATTGAAGAGGGCAAGTATACTGATTTAGATGAACTCGAAAAGGACTTCATGCAGCTTTGCAAAAACGCACAAATATACAATGAGGAAGCGTCATTGATCCACGAGAATTCCATTGTTTTACAATCTGTATTTACAAATGCACGACAGAAAGTCGAAGCCGAGGGATTAGGCTCCGATGACAATAAAGATGGAGAGGATGGATCGGACGCGGATTCTAATATGAGGATGAAGATCAAATTAAAAGGCAGGAAGAGCGAGGGTGGAGGCAGAGGAGGCCGAAGAAAGAGAATAAGTAAAAAGTGTATTTCTGATGATGATGACGATGCCGATGATCATTGAGTGTATATAAAGCTTTAGAAATCTGTAAGGTTTTAAATTATATTTCGATGAATTTTCTTATAAGTATATTTCATGATTTTAAAGACACCGAAAGTCGATAAAAAGCTAAATCAATTTTTTAACAGCTGTAGGAAATTTATAGACATTTTTTTATTTTAGGTACACTTATAGTGAAAATATAGACTTGAATTTTCCTTCTATCGTCCTATTTTAATTTTGTCTGTAATCGAGAACTTTCACAGAAATGGTAATTGTGTATAATATTAATTATATACAGTAAATGAGATAGATCGTACTAAATATATTTATTTGTTACTTTCTACACCTTTATTATCCACTTCCTTTGTATGAAATAAACGTTTTTCAAAATATTGATTTTATTCTATAGTTTTTAATTGTCTAGTATTTAAAGCTTACCTCCCTATTAATAATTGCGATCGTTATTACGAAAATATTAATATTAATCTTAATAATGACAATTAATATTAATTTTTAATAATAATGCCTATAGTTATTAATTATACACGCATGTAAATAATAAAAATGAATATTTATAAAAAAAAAAAATGTATAGTCGTAAGTAAGTTATTTCAAATTTGAATTTAATACACTACAGACCAATGCGTGAATAATACGCGGATGTAAGATATTATTAATTCGTAATTCGTATAATTTTAACCCAATACATATGAAAATTCAATTAACATTCGATAATCGTCAATCGGCATAACGCTTCATTATAAAGTTCATAGGATAACTTTTTATTTTATAATCGATGTTCCAGGTATTTTTATTTCATATTTGAAAACAACCAACGGCGAACAAAGATATAGTAGTTGTGCTATAGATAACGAAGCGAGATGATTCATCATCATCTAAATAGATACAAAGATAACCTCTCCTTTAGAATTAAGGTTATGTAAAGCGTTGATACCGAAGTAATTGTCGTTGTAAATATTCGGTATCGGCGCCGTAAAGCCTAAAATTGTAATTTATAAAGATTGCATCGGCCATCACTGGAGCACCGTAAAATTTAACGTTCAGCAGACGCAGCCGTAAACATCGCGAGAAAGCTGGCGGGAATGAAGCTTTGTCAGTGTGTGTACATGGCGTCTGACATTGATTCTGTTGGAAATGCACGCTACACCCAATGAAAGGAGGAAAGTTGCCGGTGGCGTTCCTTTGTAAGTGTCCTGTAACCGCTGCCAATCGCGACGAATCGACGCGGCGGAAAACGTGCGCGTGTAGCGTGTAGCCTAACAACCTGGAACGCATATTCGCGGCCGACGCGTGATAGAATGTTGAAAATAAAGAGCGCGTGATATACGAACGAAAGAGATAGTTGTGTGTAATAACATGGCGAGCTCGTCACCGCAGCCGTCGCCGATGCCGTCGCCGATGCCGCCGCCACAACAGCCGCCGAGTGGCCAAATGGGACCACCTCAGCAAGTACCCTCGCCCTCGAATCAGGCCCAGGGCAGCCCTATCGGTATGCCGCCACAGCATCACCCTCATAGCCCCGCCCCAGGTTATCAAGAAGGACCTCCTCAGTCTCAACCCCAGCCACCACCGCAGCAACAGGGACCACCGTCACAATTGCCTCCATCCCAGCAGCAGGGCTACGGTGTTCCTCCATCTGCTCAGGCACAGCAGCAGCCGCTTCAGAGTTACCCCCATCCTGTACAGCAAATGCCACCAAATATGGGTATGCCACCGCCGCACCATCCTCACAGTCCATCGCAGGGCTACGAGGGAGTGCAGCCTGGCCCCGTCCCTCAGCCAGTAGGCCCACCCATGATGCCGCAGCAACATTCGCCGCATCAGCAGCCTCAGCCTCATCAACAGCCACCCGTACAGCATTATCCATCGCTTCCGCCTCAAATACCAGGTAGTATGGGAGTTATGGGACAAAGCGTGCCTCCCGGCCCAGTATCCAATGTACAACAAGCACCGCCGATATCGCAAGGGAATGCAATGGGATCGGTACAAATGGGACCCGCACAAACTGGTCCGAATACAAGATTGCATTCTCAGGGTCCACAACATTCGCATGTGCCACAAATGACACAAAACATAGGTACTGTTAAGTTTAATGATAAGCTTTGCTTTTATAATACTATCGTTGTATACGACATTCCTTATAGTCTATCGTATACGTTAACTAATGCTGTTAGTTAAATTTTCACAATGTCAAAATTTTTATTATACTTATTCTATTCAGCACACACATTATTGTCATTTGTATCTAAAAGTTTTGCAATTAATCCTAACAGCTAGTATTCTTTGAAAGTATACTATTCAAAAGTATTTGAGTATTATTTAAATTAAAACTTTTATAATTACAGATACAATGGGAATGAATTTTTTTTCTCTCTTACATAAAAACTTAAGATTCTTGCATGAAGGCCTGTATAAGTACAAAAAATTGTATTTCAAATTGACCAAATGATTAAGTATATAAGAAATTTCATATTAACAAATTATTGTTATATTAATAATCTTATAAATCTGTAAGTGATTATTTAATATAAATGAATATGTTAAGGAACAGAATAAATGCTTTATTAATAGGTTAGCCAAGGCAATTGAACCGAATGAAAACATATCGCATGTAGATTCATTCGTAAACTATAATCTAAAATATTTCTCATTTTCAATTAGTTAACAATTAGAAAATGATGATATACTCTGTTTTAGAAATCATCATTAATTTTATCTGGTTTTCAAATATATCAAATATCAAAATCTAATTGATGTCTCTATTACAGGTAATCAACCACAACCTGTCGGTGCTCCAATCGGTCCACCTCCTGTTGTCCAGGGCTCTGTTGGGCCACCAAATCAGAACTGTTCGTCAGGACCTGGGCCAGGCCCTGGGCCAGGCCCTGGCCTTGGTCCAGGTCCTGGACCTACACAGGAAAATCTTAATGCTTTACAAAAAGCTATCGACACTATGGAAGAAAAGGGACTTCAAGAAGACCCACGATATTTACAACTTCTCGCTTTGAGGGCAAGACAAGGAGGCAACATCAATGAAAAGCAGGCTTTCAATCCACAACAAATTCAACAACTCCGTGCACAGATAATGGCTTATCGTGCGTTAGCACGAAATCAACCTTTATCTCAACAACAGGTACTTGCTGTGCAAGGACAAAGATCCGTTGACTCGATTCAAGGACCTGTAGGGCCAACCGCAGGGTCTCAAGGACAACCTCCTGGTACAGTGGCATCTGGATTTACGGGACCACAAAAAGCAGGTCAAGGAACGCAACAATCACAGCAGCCAGGACCACAGCCAGTGACGAAAACTAATAAGGTAACAACGATTACAAAGCCTGCTGGACTTGATCCATTGGTTATACTACAAGAACGGGAGAATCGAGTTGCAGCTAGGATAGCCCTAAGAATGGAGCAGCTCAATTACTTACCAACAAATATGCCCGAAGACTTGCGAATTCAGGCCCAAATTGAACTGGGCATGCTAAGAGTACTAAATTTTCAAAGACAACTTCGTACAGAAATCTTAGCCTGTACGCGTAAAGATACGACGCTTGAAACAGCAGTAAATGTCAAGGCATATAAACGAACAAAAAAACAGGGTCTACGAGAAGCTAGAGCTACAGAAAAACTTGAGAAACAGCAAAAACTGGAAGCTGAAAGGAAAAGAAGACAGAAACATCAAGAATTTATTAGTTCTGTACTACAACATAGTAAAGATTTTAAAGAATTTCATCGAAATAACGTGGCCAAGCTGTCTCGTCTTAATAAGGCCATCCTCAATCATCATGCTAACGCTGAGAGAGAGCAGAAGAAAGAGCAGGAGAGGATAGAGAAGGAGCGTATGCGACGGTTGATGGCAGAGGATGAGGAGGGTTACAGGAAGCTCATCGATCAGAAGAAAGACAAGCGCTTAGCGTTCCTGCTTTCGCAGACCGATGAATATATAAGTAATCTTACAGAAATGGTTAAGCAACATAAAATTGAGCAAAAGAAAAAACAAGTCGAAGAACAAAAAAGAAAAAAGAAAAAGAAAAAGTATCAGGATGGTGAAAATGGAGAGAGCGGTGATGGTGAAGATGTTCGTGTTAGTGTTATTGAGATTTCAACCGGGCGTACTTTAAGTGGTGAAGAAGCACCGCTAATGAGTCAGCTAAATGCCTTTTTAGATACACATCCAGGCTGGGAGCCAATCGAGTCAGACAGCGAATACGAAGATGATGAAGAAGAAGATGAAAAAGATGATGATAAAAAATTACAAATAGGTGTGGGAGAAGAAGATAAAGTTAAAAAGACAATACAAAAAGCCAAAGTAGAAGATGACGAGTACAAAACTGAGGAGCAAACTTATTATAGTATTGCCCACACAGTACATGAAAGTGTTACGGAGCAGGCATCTATCATGGTGAATGGTAAACTAAAAGAATATCAGATCAAAGGTTTGGAATGGATGGTATCGTTATTCAATAATAATCTCAATGGCATATTAGCCGATGAAATGGGGCTGGGTAAGACTATTCAGACAATAGCTCTTGTCACGTATCTCATGGAAAAGAAGAAAGTTAATGGGCCATTTCTTATTATCGTTCCTCTATCCACTCTCTCCAATTGGATACTCGAGTTTGAGAAATGGGCTCCGAGCGTTGTCGTCGTTTCATATAAAGGTTCTCCAGCAGGAAGGAGAACCATTCAATCACAGATGCGTGCCACAAAGTTCAATGTCTTGTTGACAACCTATGAGTATATAATAAAAGATAAGAGTGTCTTGGCAAAACTGCAGTGGAAGTACATGATTATTGACGAAGGACATAGAATGAAGAATCATCATTGTAAATTAACTCAGGTCTTGAATACGCATTATTTAGCGCCTCATCGCCTACTGCTAACTTCCTTCTTCCATCCATCTTCAAATCATGCAGTACGTTCGAACAATGGTTCAATGCTCCGTTCGCTACAACCGGAGAGAAGGTAGAGCTGAACGAAGAAGAAACGATTCTTATCATTCGTCGTCTGCACAAGGTCTTGCGTCCTTTCCTGTTAAGGCGTCTCAAGAAGGAAGTGGAGTCTCAGCTGCCCGACAAAGTGGAATATATTATCAAGTGCGATATGTCTGGACTACAAAAAGTTTTATACAAACACATGCAGAGTAAGGGTGTATTGTTGACTGATGGATCAGAGAAAGGAAAACGCGGCAAGGGAGGCGCTAAAGCATTAATGAATACAATTGTCCAACTGCGAAAACTTTGTAATCATCCGTTTATGTTCCAAGCAATCGAAGAGAAATATAGCGAGCATTTAGGTATTCAAGGTGCTGGTCTTATTAGTGGTCCAGATTTATATCGAGCATCTGGCAAGTTTGAATTGCTAGATCGCATTCTACCCAAATTAAAAGCTACAAATCATAGGGTTTTACTGTTTTGTCAAATGACGCAACTCATGACTATAATGGAAGATTATCTGAATTGGCGAGGTTTTATGTATTTAAGATTAGATGGAACAACAAAGGCCGAAGACAGAGGTGATCTGCTAAAGAAATTTAATGATCCAGGTTCAGAATTCTTTTTATTTATTTTATCAACTCGTGCTGGTGGTCTTGGCTTGAATTTACAGGCTGCAGATACGGTCATTATATTTGATTCCGACTGGAATCCGCATCAAGATTTACAAGCTCAGGACAGAGCCCATCGTATTGGTCAGAAGAACGAAGTGAGGGTTTTACGATTGATGACCGTGAACTCTGTGGAGGAGAGGATTTTGGCTGCTGCGAGGTATAAGCTTAACATGGATGAGAAGGTCATTCAAGCCGGTATGTTTGATCAGAAATCCACAGGGTCGGAAAGACAGCAATTCCTTCAAACTATCTTACATCAAGACGATGCGGATGATGAAGAAGAAAATGAAGTTCCAGACGATGAGACTGTTAATCAAATGATTGCGAGGTCGGAAGGTGAATTTGAAATTTTCCAAAAGTTAGACATTGAAAGGAGGAGAGAAGAAGCCAAAATAGGACCAAACAGAAGATCTCGTTTATTAGAGGAAGCCGAACTTCCAGATTGGTTGGTGAAAGATGAGGATGAAGTGGAAAGATGGACATACGAGGAAGATGAAGAAAAAGCCTTTTTAGGCAGAGGTTCTAGGCAACGAAAGGAAGTGGACTATACCAACAGTCTTACAGAAAAAGAGTGGCTGAAAGCAATTGGTGACGAAGGAGCTGATTTGGAGGAGGAGGAGGAAGATGATAAAAAAAAAAAGCAAACAAGAAAACGGAGAAAGAAGGGAGAGGAGGACGAAGAATTAGCTCCGAAAAAAAGAAGAGGTAATTCGGGTATGGATCCGAAATTGAAGAGAAGCATGAAGAAACTAATTTCTGTAGTTGTTAATTATACAGATAGTTCGGACGGCCGAGCATTAAGCGAGCCGTTTATGGAACTACCACCTCGCCGAGAATTTCCAGATTATTATGAAGTTATTAAAAAACCCCTTGCCATCAACAAACTAATGCAGAAAATTGAAGAGGGCAAATATTCAGATTTGGACGAACTTGAGAAGGATTTCATGCAGCTTTGTAAAAATGCACAAATATATAACGAGGAAGCGTCATTGATTCACGAGAATTCCATTGTTTTACAATCTGTTTTCACAAATGCAAGACAAAGGCTTGAAATTGAAAGTAATGTTTCTGAGGATGAGAAGGATGGGAGAGAGGGTGAGGAAGAATCCGATATGGATTCGAATGTAAGAATGAAGATAAAACTGAAAGGAAGAAAAAGTGAAGGGGGTGGTCGAGGTGGTAGAAGAAAAAGAATAACCAAAAAGTGTATATCCGACGATGATGAAGAGACAGCAGTGGCTGATGACAATTGAACGTGTCTATAAAATTTAGAATTATATTTCAAGCAGCTTTCTAATTAAGCATATCTCATGATTTTAAGGACAAAACTATGAAAGGTTGCGAGAAAGTTAAGAAAACGATTTTTTAATGACTTTAAAGAATTAATGGACATTGTGTAAACATTTAGATACATTTTTAGTAAAAGAAACGATGAATGGACTTATCCTGTCCTGTTCTCATTTTTTTTTTTGCTATGCTCAAACCTTTCACAGAACGGTGGATTGTGTACAATAAGATTATATACAATAAATGAGATAGATCGAATACTATATATATATTTTTTCACATTAATTTTCACCTTTATCCCTTCCTATAAATATATTTGTAAGCCCAATTTATTTCGTTTATATAACACAATAATTATATTACCAGCTCAATATCATAAGTTACACATGTATGTGAATGTAATATAGAATAATTATTTGTATATAGAAAATAAAGTTAATTATGTATATTATATAATGTAATGGAAATTGTTATTTATTATTAAATTTTATAGAATTTAAAATGATTAAGAATGATATCGTTGGTATAAAAATCAGAATATAATTGCACCATTCGATGAAGATGAGAATTATTGATTAGACATAATGAGGTCAGTAAAAATAATTGATTTAAATTCAATTAATATGCTCAGAATATCATGTAAATATCAAATGTATCATTTTAAATGGCAATTGGGGGGGGGGGGGAATGAAAAGCAAAATAAGTAAATGAAATACTTTTAATGCAAAGAAAAAAAGAAGAAATTACTCAAACGTGGTATATAACATTTAATTAACATCCGATTGTCGTGAACCGTCAGCATCTATCTATTACGATAAAATTGAGGAAAAAAATTATATTAATACTTATGGGGAAACATTAAGTTATAAATTTTTAATGAAAATTATAATCAAATTTAATGATCATAAAAAAATAATAGAATTCTGATTCTTCGTCGGTTCTTTTTAATTACTTTGACCGTCAAATCGCAAAAATTCTCGCAGCTATTTCTTATTTTATCCGCGCGAGTCGCTATCGTCGATTATATAAATACTTGATGTACGGTCAATTTTGCCAATACTCCAGAAATTTTCCGACGAAGCGTATGGCATGGTATGGCGCCTATTTGGTGGATTAACAATAGTATTAACAGGAATATCAGTAAAGTACTACTGGGCATTTGGACCTTAAATTATAACAAATCGTGATAGTTAAGGGAGCAGCACCTAGATTAATAGTTACTAACCACCTACCGAATTTTCTATTTGGATTTGAATTTACATTTACTGGGAGTCCGTAGTCAAGACTACATGGATCTTTGGGAGGGTACGCCAGGGTAAGAGGTAATGAGATGATAACTGCAGGTACATTCTTAAGCAACCGGAGATTTTTAACGAAACCAATGAATGAGAAAACTTAAATTCATTTCATTTAGAAGTTAAGTGATTCTGTCGAGAGAGCAACACCTAGGCAAGATGGTTGAAAGCATTATCAATGAATGGCTCGCAGATTTTGCCGAGCTCTCACCAACCGAGCTAACTACCTTTGCTAATACTATGTCTCAGGATGATGAAATTGTACAGGCTTTATATTTGTTTCTCGAAGAGCGAAACAAATACAATCAGGTAGCGCTTTTCAATTTCGATGAATAAATATTTGCTTTGGACGATGTGTCCTGAAAAAGTGTATTTCTATTCATTGACACGTTGTTCTTGATTTCAGTTTATAGAAGCTGTGTGTAATCAACTTTTTGATTTCTATAAATCACAAGAAATGCAATTACAGCGATTTAGTATACAATTTTTGCCCACGTTAATTTATATTTATTTAAATGCTGCTGCTCACGGAGACGTCAAGGTACTTATTAATTAATACGCTATATTTTTAGTTTAAAATTGAGTTTAATTGTTTCAATTAGTAATAATCGCTAATAGATAATTTCTTTGAAATTTCAAGTATTTTAATCTTATCTAACAGGTAGGGGATAAGTTTGGTTTGATTATATAAGGAATGTAAGATATAATTTCTTGAATAACAGATTATTAAAAGTTTTATCTTATAAGTAATGATACATTAAAGAAATACAATTTCCATTACAATTGCTACGATGGAAAGAAATTTAAATAGAAATATACTAAGCTCTTAATATTGTACAAACGTATTGTAAATTCAGAAGAAACTTTACAATGATTCTCACATGATTTAACGAAATTGAAACGTTTATAAATTTATTTTCAGAATTGTCGTACGGTAGAAACGTTACTGGTTGGAGTTTATAACTTAGAGTTAGTGGATAAAGATGGAAAACCAAAATCGATCTCTTTTCGTTTACCCTCTCTCGCAATGACATCTATCTATCATGAGGTAAAAATAAAAAATTGTAGCATATTTACGTGAGATGTAGAATTTATATAAATTGAAAATATTTTCAGCCCTCTAGCTTAGCCCAAGCTTCTCTTACAGAAAGTGCAGTAAGACGTTTTGAGGAATGTAATACAAAACTCGTCGGCTGGGGTCCTTTAAAACACATTGAAACTTTAAATGCCCAAAACAGGCTAAAAGTAATGACGGCTTTATTGTTTATTTTCAATCAACACATAGGCTTTTTAAAAAAGTCGGCTTTGGAACAATTGTGCAAAGTAGCTTCAAAGTAGGTGAATTAATTTTACAATTGTTTGCAGCTCTAATGTAATAATCATTTGGATATTTATAATTTGCATTTCAGGCTTGTTACTCAGGGATTTATGAAACCAGGTCATCATCAACGCACTTCGTATGGCAGTGAGTCTAGTTTCGTTCCTAGACTTTTACCTCGTATACCAGTATCTAGTCAGTTTCTTCTTGAATTTCTTCATGCAATTTATTTTTCTATGTGAGAAACACCTTCAATTCCATATGTGCTTATATGTAGTTGATTGCAATTTCTTAAATTACTGGACGAATTCTTATAGGTATAATAACTGTTGGTATATAGCAAATCAAGCAGTCGATGATATTTACAATCGAGCATGTTACGAAACATATCCAGAAGTTATTCTTGTCACGAATGCTATTCGTAATTCTAGTAGTTCGGGTCCAGCAGGTAATCTAAACTTAATGTCAAATTTTAATCCTAAATATTCAGCCCAATTTTAATGTTAAGAATTAGGGGCGTAGAGAGAGAGAGGGGGGCAGAAAAACATATTAAAACTACATAACATTTTACCGTAGATGTTTTTTATTAACTTTTATAGCGCAATCTTCTGATGGATCTATAGGCATAAGCGTATCTTCAACTTCAACAGCGACTGTACTGAAACCTATTACCAACGCATCGTTTCGTACTAAAAAACTACCAGGTTGGTTAACTTATCTACAATACACCCAATTATTAACGCATAACGAGAGCATGCAGAGAACGATTTTCCATTTCAATAAGTACTAAAATAATTTGTTATTATAAGTTTTAATTACATATATAGATAATAATAATGTTTTATACGATGCTCTGCATAGTTCAATGTTTCGTTGCACTATACTATACAAGTAAAAAATAGGTTGAGTTAAGGGAATTAATTTTAATTGAAACAAAATGGCAATGGGTAAGCGAAATAATAATAAAATGAAATAATAATTATAATAGATATAAAATTAGCATAAAAAGCTTTCGATTTAAATTTGTATTTTTAATGAGCAAATAATGAGTTGCCGCTATCCTTTCCCGTATTAAAGTGTGCGTGTGTTCATGTGTCGAACGTATAAATGCTTATAATAGTGAAAGGTGCATCTGATTGCCAAGCGATTTTATGAGAAAAAAAAATCATTTTTAAAAGTCGAAAATATTTTCAATTTAGCTTCTCCCTTTCAATTCAATATTTATCAAGAGTCCACGAGTAAATTTTCATCATTGAGCAAGCGATTACCAAGCGCAATTATCACGTGCTTCAATAATACTCGTGCCAAGCACGTTACTTGCATTCATACCTTTCTTAACAATTATTCTTAACAATGAAGCACGATTATCATTACGACGCACGTCCGTAATGAATTTACAGAATTACGCATACGGCGTTGCTATCGTGCTAAGCATAGAATGAAAAGAGCGCCCGTCGTTTATTTCCTAGGCGGCCTTTTTCTAATTAATGAGCTGATCGTGAATCCGAAATCTTATTAAACCGCGCGCGCACTTGCGTCGATGCGCACGTATAATAAACGAATGAAAAATCGCTACTTAGCCGATGTCGCGCGTAGTAGGTCGCAACGGCTCGCACATCCGCACTCGCGATTAACGACTGGGAAATCGTTGCGGAGTAGTAGCGCATGGCCCCAGGACGAGTCCGAGCCGAGCACCAGTCGATTAAAACCAAATGAGTCTTTGAGAAACTTGCTCGCTAGACGATATCGAGGAGACGCCGTGCGAGGACGGCGAGAGCAAGAGCGATCGAGGGTCCGAGGGCCCCTCGCCGACCGTCGGGCATCTTCAGCGGACGCCTCTGAGCAGCAACAAGCGCCGCGCCTGGCTCTGGAAGAATCCGCTTCACAATTCCTTCGACGACACGGACATTGCCCTCGCCGATAGGCACCAGCTGCCCGAGCCGCATCCCGCGTCCCTCGACAGCTCGCGACGCGAGAGTCTCTCCAGCAGCCAGGGCTCGCCCAACAGATCGTCGCCAAAGCGGGGCCACGAGCTCCGCCAGAGGAAGAACAGTGGCTCGCGCAAGGACGCGACCAAGGAGCCGGGCAAGGACAGCGTCGAGATATCCAAATTCAACGCCACCCAGAAGTTGTACAGAGTCCTCGAGGAGCAAGCTCTCGGCGAGAGCGTGGGCAGATCGACGGGGGGAGACATATCGAGGAATAAACAGCAACAACAACAGCAGCAACCGATTAACCTTTGCGTGGCCGAGGATCTATCGCCGAATAACAGATACTCCTGTTGATGCAGAGGCCCTTCGTCGTATTCGCTCGCTTGATAAAGCCCTAGGGAGGGGACATTGTTGAGACTTTGGTGATTGATTTGGATGGAGGTGAGCTCTCGCCGGAGAGGACAGAGCCGTGACGGCATTTTATTATCACATCGTATCATTATCTGTATGAGTGATTTGAACACATGTGACAAGGATATACCGCTTATGGGCACACGAGCACTTATGTCCGTAAGAAGATGACGAACTTATGCAGTCGTTGGTAGATAGAATTGTTGCTCGTCGACTCTGTAGTTTTACTAGAGAAACACGTTTTTTTTTTTTTAATTATTATTAATTTTCACAATTTACATCACCTTCGTCTGTCTGTCTGTCTGTCTGTCTGTCTTGTTCCAGCAAATTACTACCTAGGAAAATTGGATGTTACCCACATCCACATTTGTTACAATTCACTTTTTCTATTGTGCATAATTAAGCGCGTCACGTTTTTAAACAGCAATTTATATTATTTTCAAATTTTTTTTTTTTTTTTTTTTTTTTTTTTTTTTTTGATTGTTTATCCATGTGCTAGATATATTTATTATTTGTTCAGAACACCATATTGTTTACACAGTACACAGTTTGTTACGTTTTACCTGGTCTAATGTACATAATTCACGTCTCTACATTCTATTTATTATTCTTGCGTGAAATTCGTGCTATTCTATCTAACGTTGTTGTTTCTATTTTATTTATTAATTTTTTCCTCCCCTTCCCCGCTCTTAGATGATATTCCAATTCAGCAAGAAGAAGCGAACGAGCAGAACGGTAAAGTGGACAAAATTACGAAACCAGAATAAGGCTAAGACTATTTCCCTCCATCCCAGGTAAATCATGTCGTTGCATTAACAAACTTCATATTATAGCGAATTGGACTTTTTCATAACGCAATGCCTTAATCCGCTAATTATTTCAGATGACTGTTATAAAATGTATAAAAGTGTATAAAAAACAAAAAAAAAACAAAACAAAACAAAAACAAAACAAAACAAAACAAATAATCGATAATATCAATTTATTGTATTGGAAGAATTTCATGGATGGTGCATTAAAAGGTCTGGAATGATAATTCGATAAAGTGCTTTAAATACATGTGAACTTTTCCTAAATCTTAAATCAGCGTTTAGATGAATACAAACGAATTTCCAGATGAAAAGACTATATTCATAAAGTGATAGATATTAATAAGAATTAATAATAATTAATGCAAAATGAAAGCGGAGTAACACCATCGATTTCACTCGAAAGCAAACCATATAATTTTTAAAGTAATCATTCGGTTGCGCTTTTGATTATTTTTTATTATTATAATCTAGCTTCTTTTAAAAACTCGATGTATCACATATTGAAAATAATTGTGTTCATTTACGCTTTGTACGAGAGAACCAGTGATAATTCTGTCACTTAGTATTTTAATTAGATAAGTATTAATGATGGTGTGTTTGGTATGTGTATTTGGTATGTGCAGCATATGTGTAATATATTAAGTAATGTATTGTCATTTTACTTCTTACGATAATTTTTTAACTGCGAAAAGTAAGTATTTGAAATGTATATCTATTGTTATAATTTTTATTTAGTTAAGCTAATATTAACTTGTATTGTTTTATTTTAATAAGGAAGAAGGCATTGGAATGCCTATACTGACATTATAAAAATGAAATAAATTAGGGGCTAGAATTGGGAATTTCCATGGCAAGACCATGAGAAATTGGGATTTTCAAAATACAAATCAACAATTACACATAAAAATGAAGTTTTAGATTTTGTAAATCAAAAAATTACTAGAATTTATCATGCTTGGAAAGCTCGATTTCGATTTCTAAAAGAAAACTATCCTCTGTGATAATGTTTGTTTAAAATTTTCACGTACGATATTGAATAAAAATAATATTGACTTCGCGGCCGCTGGTGCTTCCATTGATTACACCTTATTTCTTGTTTAGCACATACATTGAGCGGATCCTTATTACACAATTATTTAGCATTGCTCTCCCTCTCTATCTATCTATCTCTCTCTCTCTCTCTCTCTCTCTCTCATCTCACTGTTTCTATATACATATATTTATCCAAGTACCGATCTATTGTAATTCTAAATACCAAATAATCTAGCTGCAATCAATATTATTGCTAATTCATCAGCTTAAAGACACATTCATTATTTCTTATTTCACTTGTATGACGAAGGCATAGATCTTGCACATCAAAACATTTATGCATTGTATTCTTGAATAATATTTATATACCTGGAAAAAATAAATATAATCGGGCTACTTATTAAGACTAGACGGGAAATTAAGTTTTCGGGATTTAAATATTGATTATGCATTTACACTTTCATTATTTTAATGTATAATAACTTATCATTTGCTTTCTCTTGTATTTATATATACATAAAATGGAATGAGACTAAAAATAAAAGTTTGGAACATTTGTAATAAAAGAATCTTAAAATGTTACTTTTAATACGCAAACGCACGTACGTACACACGCAACACACGCTCCCGCGCACGCGCGCACACACACACACATACATACATACATACATACATACATATGTATATATATATATATATACATACATTTAATTTAAATATTTTAAAAAGTATTTTTTATAATAATTGTATACTAATTTATATAATTCAAATAGATTAAATCAGCATACAATTTTTTCCTTTAAAAATACGACTAAAATATAATAAATTTTTTTATATTAAATGCAAAAATTAACGACAAAAATATTTAAAAAAAAAAAAGAAAGAATAAACAGACGTAAAATATGGAACGCATCAATGTTCCAATGTTTAAAAGTGATTATAGAGTATATAAAATTGTAAAAAAATATATCTGTACATAAAAAAGAAAGGCTGATTTTCTATTTAATTTCATTTTATGACCTTCTGTTGGATCATACATAATACACACTTGTATATTCTATATATATATATATATATATATATATATATATATATATATATATATATACATACAGGCACGGGCATATACATCTACGTGCTAAGAAATACCAAAAAAGTTTTTGTTTGTGAGTGATAAAAGCCATTTTTTATGCCATCAAGTACTGGCACACACAAGTACTGGTTCATGTGTGTATGCGTACTTTGATACACAGATAAGTCTATTATTAAACAGTTATAGCGTTTTAATGACGTTATTAATAAATCTCTCTCCATTGACAGTAGAAGATATTGTATTGAACCAACGTCATATAAATGTCGACTCTTTTTCTACCAATTCAGCATACCCCTTGATAACCAAATGATGAAAATATAAAAAGGGATATACTGATTATGACTCACAATGATTAGTTTAGTTCGTTAACACTTATACCAAAATTAATTACATTCCACTCGATCGGAGAATATTCATACGAAAGATAATCACAAAAATAATGAAGACGTATGGAATGGAATAACGTAATATACGTGTTCTTATCATATTTCTTGCGCAGCGGCTACCTGTTATTATATAATGGGGAGTCTGCATTTTCCAAAATAATATTTTACTATTCGTTACAGCATCGAAATATTTATAACGCAAGGCAAGATATTATGTATGATATATGTGGGGGGGGGGGGGGGGGGGGGGGGTATAGGTGAATTAACACATTATAATTATATTACAGTTGCCTGTAGAGTTTAGAGCATTTTTAGAATTTTTTTTTTTTATTATATAAATTAATGTCTTATTAAATCGTAACATTCAATAACATTGTTTAACATAATTTTAATGTTAATGCAGAAAAAATGTTGATCTCTTGAAAGAAAACAGAGTATTTATCATAATTGATGCACTTATGAAAATTGATATTTCATATTTAAATATAAATCTTTATTGTACAACATTAATATTTTTCATTACAGATGCATTTAAACTGTTGGCATTTTATTTTAATAATAATTATGAGGAAATTACATTAATTTTAAAAGTTATATATATATATATATATATAATATTATTGTTTCTAATTTGTTTTTTATTAAAAAAAAAAAATAATAATAATAATAATAATAAAATTAAAAAATTATAACAATAATGATCTTGTTATTAATTTCATAAGGTTTAAATGATGAAAGACATTGATTTTGTCACAGTCATAAATGTTATTACAGAGTAAAAATATTAATAATTAAAATATTGTTTATTATACAATTATAGCACACTACAATCCATATAAAAAATTTGATTAATCAAAAACTCCATATTGTGCATTTAGCTGTACCTTTTCTAGTCCATTGTTAATTTTGAATCACGTTTTATCTGTATACGTACTAGAATATTAATATTCAAAATAATTTGTTTGTGATGTAACGTTAAACAATGAAATTTTGTATATACAAGAAAAAATCGAATTAAAAGCAAAAAAGAAAAACCAAAAACAAATCGTTTTCATTGAACAATAGAACTACTAAGAGAAAACTTATTTTCGAATGTAATCATTTAAAAAATGTATATAACATATATGTTTCAAACAGGTATTCTGTCTTAAAAAATGACTGGTCGAATTGAATTTGTAATTTTTAAAATAAGTCTGAAGTAGAGAAATATAATATTGCCTTTGACTATCATTCTATTTAATAATCGCAAATAAAGGCAATTTAATTATCGTGAAAAGATTTCTATATCAATCATCCTAGTTAGCTTTTATACATTCAAATTAATTGTTGACGAATGTCCTCTGAGATATTAAAGGATGAAAACAAAATTTTTTACCCATTCGGACATTGAAAAAGGATACTGATTTTTACTTGTAAGAAATTGCCGTAAACTGAGGATTATCCGTCATCGATCCGTCAAGAATACATTTGTACTTGCGTCTCAATTATTATAAATTAAATATATTTTTTTCTTAAATAATGATTTTGAAAGAATCTTGTGGCGTTCCACTGTCGGGACTACAACATAACGTAGTAATTTCATAGTTACCATATTGATATGGGACTGTCAATTTTATCATTTATTCAAACCATATAAATATTGTGTGCAATGACGCATATGTAATATGTATAAATAATGTATAAATAATGTTAATCTGTAATATATTGAGCAATAATCAATAATTACCAGTCTTCTTTTATTTTTTCAACTCCATTCCTCGTCATTTGTTCTGCCAATTTTGTAAATTATACCAAAAAAAAAATTCTCTAGTTAATATAATATTGAATTAACACACTTTTTTTTTTTTTTTTATAAATTTACAGTCGTTATAATCAATTTAAAATCGAAAATAGCATAAACTCAATCCTGTTTATAAAAGTTACGCATTGATATTTTATTTTATGACATTTTTAATGCGTAAAAAGAGAAAATGATAATGGCAGTAAGATAATCCTTCACTTACATAAAATATATTTTCGATTAAAACAACGATGTTATTGTTAATTTTATTTTTCACTGGCGAAATAACCAACGGTATATAAAATTTCGTTTAATTAATCCCTAAGATTATCGATAGTTACATTTAAAATTATTATTTTTAAATTATTTACAAGGATACGAGTATTATCGCGTAGACTACTAGTTTATGATTCTTTTTAATTATTGAAAGTACTATAAATTACTAAATAAAATTAAGAAGGAAATTAATTTCTAATTTTTGTAAGTAAATGTAAATAGGCATAGGTCAAATCATAGTTCAGAATCAGAAAGTATATAATGTAAAATATAATTTATCCAACGAATACACTCGAATAATTCCGTAATGATAATACCATTATAGATTAATTTCAATATACCAATGAACATGTAATTTAAAATACCAAAATTATTCGTTTGTTAAATGTTTAAATGTAATAGAAGTATTTCTAGGACACGTGATCTTCCAATAAAGCCACTGAACATTAATTTTTCACAATTGTTGACCAAGTATATAATTAAAATACTAACTGAATAATAATTGAAATTTAAAAAATCAAAAAGTCTCATTAATCCGACACGACTGTCTTTCTTTTGTTTTGACCATTAGCTATAAGGTGTTGTAATCACAAGGTTTTGTAGAAAAGTAGTGTAGGACATGATTAATTAACGCTAATATTACGGAATATTATACCTGTGGGCAGAGGTGGAGGTGGCGGTAAGAGTTGTTAAAGTGCAACAGGAAGAAGTGCTAAATGCCAAATGGTGTAAAATAATTTACGAGAGATCGATGAAAAAGAATGCGCCGCCTACATCCTCACAGGGATCATTAGTCTCGGTAAAATAGCGGATAGGAAAAGGTCCCTCGGAAACTTTTGTAGTCCCAAAAGGCGCGATTTATCAGGAGAAAAGGAAGGCAATCGAGCACAAGGAATAGGAAGCACCGGCTAGACTGGAGCCATGAAACGC